ATTTACAAACTCACAATTTAAATTATAAAAAAAATAAAAAAAATACATCACATACCACCTAAAAATAAAGCCCTTATCAAGATAATTCTAATAGTACATGTAAATGTCACCTTCAAAGAAAGCCACACATGCTGCCGCATCATGATGACATCTCCCACATGTTGTCATATCTATTACATGTGCTAGCCATTCTTTTATTTTTCTTTTCACTTTAGTTCTGTCTGAAAAAAAGGAGAGGGCTGAAGTTTGTGACTTCTTCAAATCTGGCCCTTAATTCTCTAATTGTTTTAAATTAGTAAAACTAGAATTTATTTTACTAAATTGAGCATCAACCGCATGCAAAAAAAAATCTTTGATAATATGATAAACATATAAAATAAAATAAAATAAGTCATAAAGTTTAATTTAAAAAAAAAAACTTCAAAGGATGAATTTAAAAAAGAAAAGAAAGGGGGCCACTGTTGAAATCCACAGCCACTCTTCCCTTTTCTTTTACTTTATTCCTTGTTTGATCAAAAAAGTGCCCGAAAGTTTGTGACTTCTTTAAACCCAATTTTAAATCTTCAAAAACTAAAATCTATTTTACTAATTTGATTATCAACCGCTTGCAAAAAAAAAAAAATCTCAGTACCACAATAAATATATAAAAAACAAATCATAACATTTAATTTTAAGAAAACACAACTTCAAACAATAATTAAAAAAAATGATTAAGAAAAGTCAAAAGAAAAGGGATCAGCGTTGAAATGCAATGAACATTAGTCTCAACAGTGAAAACGCATTCTCTTTGAATTTTTTGTAAATATATTATGGATTGGAGAGAACTCAGGCATGTGTTTGGATGAGGAAAAACAGCATAGCAGATCCCATGGCTGTGTTTGGATGACAGGAAATTAATTTCATTTGATCTTTAAGCCTTTCTTATATGTAGAGTAGATTCCGCCTTGACTGGTTATTTATGATTTTTTTTTGTTAATTGATTTATATTTATTGATAATAATGAAGCCAAATTGTAAGAATTAAGGATGGAAATAAGAAAACCTCTGTTATGGTATTAAATTACATGAAAGAGAAGTGATTGGAAAATTGTCGCCATTTACTATTAATGAACAACCCATTCTTGCACATGCTCCTACGAGAGCACGTGTGCTTCTGCGAGTCCTGAGAGTTTCGATCCTGAGGTTTGCAGTTACAATGGCCATCCTGAGTTTCTTGAAAGGCAAAGGACTACCATTATTTAGCAACAGGCGCCATTTTATTCCCGGGAAGGATGATGGGAGGCTTTGCCAAGAAGTTGCAGAAGAAGATCGCCAAGAGCGATGGCAAAATTTGATCTGATGTATGATATTGCCATGCCGACATGCTGATTGTTGACAGATATTGTAGAAACTAACTTGGACATAAAAATTTCTTAACATTCAGAAGCGGATCTTCAAATATGAAGAGAATGATTTAAAGGCTTAAGAAGTTCCAAAACACAATCTTACAACCAGAGGCTGCTCTCTCTCTATCTCAAAACAAATTTACATAAGCAGGCAGCCTGCAAATAATCAGAGAGCAAGGGGGCAATCCTGACTACTAGGTATCTTCCTTGCGTCGTTTATCAGAAGAACTCCCATGTTTATGGCGCTTGCGAGAGCCTTCTTCCCTGTCCCTGGAGCTCCTTTTGTGAGTGCGCTCCTCCCTGTCTCTCAGCTTTTTGTGGGAGGGTTCTTCCATATCCACAGGGCTCCTTTTCTCATAGTGTTCTTCCCTGTCTAAAGAGCCCCTTTTGTGATGGTAACCACCCCTCTCTGGTGAGATTCTTCTGTGAGAGCGCTCTGATCTATCCATTGAGCTGCCTTTGTGGCGGTGTTCTTCTTTTTCAACAGAATGCCTTTCACCGTAGTGCTCTTCCTTGTCCCTATAGCTCCTTATGTTAGAGGATTCCTCAGCCTCCTTATATATGGTACTCCTCCTGTAAGAACTTTCTTCCTTATCTCTGGAGCTCTGTTTTCTTCTAGGGGGTGATGGGGCCTAAGACAACAGAATGAGGAACGAAAAGAAAATTATCCCATTTCTGTATTTAAGTTTTCTGATGCGAATCTAATTATTCTTGCATAGAAGATTCAAAGTGCCTTTTCCTTTGACCACTGATAACATAGATAATCCATACAATAAATCAAATACAACAAAACTGTAAAAATCAGCAGCTCCAATAACATTGACTAGAAAGAAAGCAAAAGGTATATGCTTAATCATGCATATCAACAAGACTCATACAACATATCACGAGGAACAATACCTCATAGTGAGACATATATCTTCCCTCTGGTGGAGGAGGAATGCCAAGCCTCTTCAAATCATCATAAGGAATTGTTTGACTGCATGGTGGAAGAGTGTAAACCATTAACATCACGAGAGCATAGTACAATTTTCATCATATAAGCATGAAATTCAGCTTTCCCAACAACCTTGAACCATCTCAATATTTCACCAAATTAATCCTTTTTTGCTCACATCCAGCTTGAAGCACAATGTCCATCAATACAAGGGAGCAATTAATAATGGATATGCAACTAGTAGTTGATGTCTAGATCCAATTGTGAAACCAGAAAGCAGAAGAACCCAAATGCAATTCAGTATGCATGTTGTAGTCATGTTGATCACCCAACAAATCGACCCTCATTGAATCCAACATCAGGGCACGTTGGTTTCTAACAACAAGCAGACCTTGTTTCCAAGAGACTGGTCAAGTTAAAGCACGGCTCAAGCTTGAATTGGGCATGACCTATATAGATTGCGGTCCCAGCATGGAGGCTGGAAGGACTGGCTCAAGGTTTCCATCTTTGAAAGCAGTCTGATGACTGAAAATCTGCTAGTATTAACTTCTATCATGATGCATGAATTGCTAAAATCTATAAGAACAGCAATATGAGTGTCTTTGCAAACATATCGATGGAGATTCTGCTGACAATACATTGATCAATATATCGTTCCATGTATGTTAAAATTATTCAAAATCCCAGAAAATTACTAGAATCCACTTGTTTTACAGGAATACGAATGGCATTCCTTCATATGGAAATCCTCAAAAAGGATTATGAAGGAGAGTTCAAAACAAATGAAAAATAAAACCATGTGTTGATTTTAAAACCATATGAAGCAAGGAACTAAAGTACCTATCAACTTTGAGTTCCCAAGAAAAATTAACATTCATTGTTCATCTTCTCATATTAAAAAACCACAAACTGGTGCTTTCCATGCTCTCCCATTCCATGCCATACCACTCAATGCAGTTATATAATATGGGGAAACAGTATATGACCAAACTTGGAAAATAACTAAATCCGAGTTACCAACCAAAGATGATAGATGAAAACAATTTGAACAGTGCATAATTATTCATAGGATCACAAAACAATAAGCTTATCTAATAATTCAATGCAGAAAATAAAACACTGAACAGCACATACAGAGGAGCTCGAAATGGCCTTTCTCGGCCCCCAAATCGAAGCTGTCCAGACTCCTTTCTACCACCAAGGCCACCTCCTATCACAAATGAAGAGAAAAACAATATAGAATCCTTTATATGTTTGATCTTATGCAACAAAACTCTGCAAGCAAAGTAAATATCCAACTAACCTAACCTTCTCGGTATCCACCCAGGCATCAAATGTTGCCTATTATAGTCAACTATGATTTCAGAGTCATCAATATAAGAATGCTGCGCATCCTACATAGCATAAACAACAAAACAAACATCACACATTACATCAACTTCTTTCAATACAAACCCACTTTAACAACCTAATTTACTATGGCAAGATAATGTAAAGCAAAACAGAACAACACATCAAAGTTCTAGCTCAAGACTAAATATAAAACCTTGTATGCACGGCGCATCTCCCTTTCAGTTTCAAATTCAACAAAAGCATAACCTCTTGATGCACCAGTCACTGCAAAATGAAACCAATAACATAAAACGAAAACCCCATCAAAACAAAAGAACCCACAATCAATTATCATTTAAAACATCAAGACCAAGCCAATATCACAAACAAAACAAGAGAGATAGAAAGAAAAACCCATAACAGCAAAGGAAACCCAATACGAAAAAACAGTCAAAAAAACAGTTTTCAACATTACCAATGTGTCTAACCAATCTCAAGTTCTTCACTTTACCATACTTGCTCATTGCCTGAGAATGAAAACACAATTAACAACTAAAAAAATAAAAAATATATCTAAATTCTATGAAAAACATACAATATTCCACCTTCCTAAGCGTATCTTCTGTAGTGAGATGTGAGAGACGCCCAACAAAGATAGTGCAGTAAGGGTCACCAATGGCCTTCGGATCTCCAAAAGGGTCATCTGAAAAAGATGGAATTGCTTATGGAAAGAAAAAGGAGAAATTGTGTGGACGAAAGTGAAATTTAGTGTCTACTTACAGAGACCGGCGGAGGCACAGAGAAGCGCACGGTAAACAGCGTTATCGTGAGGAGCAGTGTCGGTTCCGTCAATGCTACCAGCTTGAATTGGGTGGTATGTCTCTGCATAGAACACTGAGTTTATGCTGCGTCCACTCATCTGCTATGGCTACTCTCTCTTTCCCTCTCCTTTTTTTTTCCCTTCACCTATGTCCACTTTGTGTTTCGGTTCCGGGGTTGGGGGTTTTCGTGGTTTGGAAAACATCATATTAGTCCCTTAACTATATATATATACCCTTTCATTTTGAGTCCTTCAACTATTGATATTTTCAATTAGATCCTCCATCTCTTTTATTGTCTCAATTGTATCCTTCAGTTAAAATATTTAACATTATAACTAGTTTTTTTATAAAAAAAAATTATAAATTTATTAAAATAATAATGTTTTATATTTTTAAAAAATATATATTTTTATTTTAAAATAATTTAAAATAAATACGAAAAAACAATTTAAAACAAAAATAATTTATTTTGAAGCGCGTAGTCAACACACCCTTGAACCGTTGAGGGTTTGGTACTCTCTAATTTAATTTTCTAGTTGCGCCTCTCCATCTAACACCTTCTTGTCTTGCCGGCTGCTGCCTGTTGCTTGCTGACATCTACAAGGCTAAAGCCCCTTCAGTTTCTGCTCCTAGTTTTTAACGAAAAACAATACAAGAACCAAACATAAAACAAGCAAGAATGTTGTCAATTAGATCAATCTTTAGACCACATATAAGACTAAATTCTATCACTCTCTCCTCATTAAGTTATTCATCCTCTTCAGCTGCAGCAATTCAAGCTGAAAAAACTATCAAAGATGGTCCAAGAAATGATTGGACACGTGAAGAAATCAAGGATGTTTATGACTCTCCTCTTCTTGATCTCCTCTTTCATGGGGTTAGATCTTTTTACTCAGTAATGTAGAAAAACAGGGTGTTTATTATTTTAGTTAATTGTTGTTGTCTTGTTTTGTTTTGTCAGGCTCAAGTTCATAGATATGCTCATAATTTTAGAGAGGTTCAGCAATGTACTTTGCTTTCCATAAAGACTGGTGGGTGCAGTGAGGATTGTTCTTATTGTCCTCAATCTTCAAGGTATGATACTGGAGTCAAGGCTCAGAGGCTTATGACTAAAGAAACTGTTATGGAGGCTGCTAAAAGGGTGTGTTTCTTTTCTTTTCTTTTTCTTATTTAATCCCCTTTTTTATTTTTATTTTTATTTTTATGTTGTTTAGGTTCATAAGAATCTTGAGGCAGTTAGACACTTTCTGTTGCTGATGGCATTTGTGCTAAAACAATTTATTCTTTATCTCATATTTTGGTTATTATGTGATTCAATTATCTTGCAAATTCTGAAAACCTGCCCACATTTAGATGGCTTCCTTAACGCAGCTTCATAATTGATTGATTTGGCTTGCATACCTCCTGGTTGACGTCATTCTTAAATCCTTTCTGTGTTTTCCCCTTGTTAATTGCGGTACTAGAATTGAACAATTCTCGTCATCAGAAATGCACTAGAAGGCAAGTTGTTTGCTTATATGATTACCTTTGGTGTTCATTATAAGTTTCATGATTATGCTAGAACTTCACTTATCCAAGCAGCTGAAAAATAAAGGTTACACCTCAAGAAATGAACTCTCATTGTTCTTCATGCAATTTTGTTGTTTGGCAAATTGATTGAATGTTGCTATTGGATAATCACCTGCTGATTAGTTGAATTTCTTCCCTCCCTTCGAGCTGATAGCCCCTATACTGATCACTGTAGTTTTATCTGATCAAGTTCATGTTTAGTGTAGCAGGATGCTTCTTTTCTTTACTTGCTTGTTTGTTTGTTTGTTTGTATGATTTAGAACCTTCTGTATCCTTTTCAGGCAAAAGAGGCTGGCAGCACTCGTTTTTGCATGGGTGCTGCTTGGAGAGACACAATAGGAAGGAAGGCGAACTTTAACCAGATCTTAGATTATGTGAAAGACATCAGGTAATGAATGCATCATTTATGGAAGAAATATATCAAAGCAAGGCATCTTGCGTAAGTTAGAAAACAGATTTTCAAACAGCACACAATATTACAGTGCAAAGGTTATTTCCTAACCATGTTCCTACTGAAGTGGGGTACCAAGAGAGGGAATTTGGAGAAATTTCTACACCTTGAGCTTTTCTAAATGAGTCAGCCACTTATGGCCAAGCTAATGCATTTAGGGTCTTTAGAGCAGCCACTTCATGCAAAGTGCTATCATAGCTCCTTTTCTCTCTAATGCTTAGTCTGTGACTGAAATGTCTGGTGCCTATCAGGGATATGGGCATGGAGGTTTGCTGTACCTTGGGCATGCTAGAGAAGCAGCAGGCTGTAGAACTGAAGAAGGCTGGTCTTACAGCTTATAACCATAATCTTGATACCTCAAGAGAATATTACCCAAACATCATCACTACAAGATCCTATGACGAACGCTTGGAAACCCTTGAACATGTCCGTGAAGCAGGAATTAGTGTCTGCTCAGGTGATTGAATCAGCTTTTCCTGCTATCTCCTTTCTTCTTAAGTAGATTTTTGAAGAACAAAATCCAATTCATTGTAAAAGAAGAGGAAATATTTAAATTGATGGATTTCTGTGGAGTTCATAGTGAAGATAGAGAAGAATTGCAATTTGAATATAAAGAAGACAGTTTAGTTGGTATCTTTTGTTTTTCATGCTTGCCATCTTAAGTCTTTCAGTTGTATCATAATACAAGTTTAACTTGATATATGAATAGGGTAAATTTGGAAATTTGATCCAATTTAAGATGCCTTTGATGGAAGTTTGGGGCTTGTTTTGATTCAGAGTGAATCCTTACCTTAAGGTTATGCAACAGCATATTCTTCTTAAATGTCAGACAAGAATTCCTTTCACGATGGCACAGGCAAATGCTTATCATGGAATCTTGTCTATTTTTCTGTTAATAGGAGGCATAATAGGGCTTGGAGAAGCAGAGGAAGACCGAGTTGGTTTATTGCATACGTTGGCAACCCTCCCTACTCACCCAGAGAGTGTTCCAATCAATGCATTAGTTTCAGTGAAAGGCACACCTTTACAGGAACAAAAGGTACCTCTTATTCCTGTTTCTTACAAGTTCAGTTTGGTGGTGGTTATAATAATTATTATGATTGGGCCTAATCATTTTCTGCAGATTTTCAATATATCTTTGTTCTTCAAATTCGGTTCCCTAACTACTGATAGATGGAAACTGGAAGCCATATTTTATATGAAGTAAACTATTAAAACCGTAGGCAATTGCCCAAAACTACTACATCTTTGTGAAGTTATGAACTGATTGCAGCTTTAGTTGCAAAATGAGAAGGCAGTAATATTAACTTACTCAAAATCTCTATTCAAAAAGTACTATAATGACAGAATAACAGGTTTTCTAACCATGTTATTGCATTCATTGACTCTCAATTAATTATCTGTTGCTGCATTACTTGTCAAAACCCATGTTGGTATATTTTATCAATCACCTTTTGACGCTGGCCTTGTTTTAGTTCTAGATCTCATAATATTCTTCATATTCTTCAACCTCTTTTTATATACATATGAATTGTTGGTTAAAATATAATCACTGGTTCGGATCATGTTTATTCAATTAGCTTATTATATGGCCTGGAGTATCTAGGTGATATCACTAGAAAATGATTGTTGGCCCACCTAGCTTCAACTTTCAAGTGAAGGTTCATATTTCTGATAACAGATAACGAAGGTTTTTAAAGGGGCTTTCTGAATTTAGCATCAATTTCTTTGAAGCTTAATAGATTTCATGTTTTCTGCTTCTTGTTCAGCCAGTTGAAATATGGGAGATGATTCGAATGATTGGCACAGCACGTATTGTAATGCCGAAAGCAATGGTCAGATTATCAGCCGGGAGAGTTCGTTTCTCAATGTCTGAGCAGGCTCTTTGCTTTCTTGCTGGTGCCAATTCTATCTTCACTGGCGAGAAGCTACTGACAACACCTAACAACGATTATGATGCTGATCAACTTATGTTCAAGGTTCTCGGTTTGATTCCAAAAGCTCCCAGTTTCTCTGGAGAGGAAGAGAAGGCTTGTGAAGCAGAACAATGTCAGGAAGCAGTTTCTAGTTCAGGTTGAAATTACTAGTTAGAAGGGCGTCTATATCCAAATTAGTCCAGGGTTATTGCTTTAATAGATTCCTTTTTTCCTTGGATAAAATTCTCTCACTCATGGCACGCAACAGATTTGGATTAGTATTGCATTGTTATTGCTTTAATTGTATCCAATTTTTCTTATGTTTTTTTCCCTCCAACTTGAAGGGGCCACATCTTTCATTAAAGTGAAAATATGCCAATATCTATGGAATATTATATAGAACCATAAGAAATTCTTCTCTTTTTGTAAGAAAACATAGAAGCTCTCGAAATTGTATCCCATGTGTTTGTTCTAGTTTTTGTGTCTAACCATGATTCTTCGCATGAATGATTCCGGTCCATTGAATGTAATTATTCTCTTTTAAATTCAATAATAAAGTATAAAAACTAGGTGAGCGAAAAGAATTCGCATCATGCTGACATAGAAACCAAACTGCACTTATGAAATTAAATTTGATGACAAGTCCAGAACTTGAATTAGTTGATGTTCATGCTATTGAACAATATTGCATGTGAACAGGAGGGAGGAGAGTTTGCTTAAATATACCGTAATCAAAGCAGCACAAATTCAATGCCAACCAATGTTGGTTTTTATCCTAAATTGACAGAATTGTTTTCAAACGTAGACAATAGCTATACAACAAAAAAGAGTAACACTTCTAAGTTTAAGAACCCAGAACTACCATTTGGCTGGACAGAGATGTCAAATTTTTTCATGGGGCTGGAATTTCTGTTACCAAAAAAAAAAATCGTATATCCCACATGACCCTATCGGAAAGAATCCTATCGCCCACCTTTTGTACTTGAAACGGAGTCACCAACAGTCAAAAACACATGTTCTCCCAATACCATATTTACGGCAGGGAGGCCTTCAATGGCATCAACAGTTATCTGCAGAGAAGGATGTACAAGTTCATTAAACAAGAGCTAACTAAAATCTAAGTGTTTATCTTCAATGATTCGTAGAAATAGAATATACACGGGTTAAAGATCAAAACCTTTCCATCTCCAAGTTGAAATTCAGATTTCAAATTAGAATGATCCCTTGATAGCAAGTAAGTTTCTAGACCATGGACAGATTTTGTATTTCCTGAAACCACTGATTAATAGTAAGAGAGGGAATGGATAGGAGAGATGCCTAGAAGAGGGGTGGGGGGGGAGGAAGAGAGAGAGACGGACCTCCATACAACGAAAGAATGGCATCAGATTTGAAAACTAGTGCCGGCCTTGCCAGATATATGGTGAAGGACAGCTTGGAAATGTCATGGAAACTCTCCTCACCAAGTACAACCTGCAATTTCATTCATAAAAACATGCCAGAGAGAAATTACTGGAAACAACACCAACAGTCTCTTGAAAATCCTGATAAAAAAACCTTCGTTCTGAAAATACAGCTATCAATACTGCACAAAACATATTTCGGGACTTGATGTCCTGCATTGCCCTACAAAATAGTTCCTAGTCTGGTAAGCCATGGGTTTTGGATTGTTCGATCAATACATCAGGGCTGACTGCCCGCCATATGTAAATTCCAGGACTAACAAGAATCCAGAACAAATCAAACAAGGGTAACAACCTCAGCAAGCCTTGGAAGCAGTAGGTCCATGCAATGGCATTTAAAATCTAAGTCAATTTTAAGTTGGACTTGTATATCGATGAAAGCACTTCAAGCCCTAGGCCAATGAATTATGTTATGCGAGCTCACCTTGCTCCAGCATGTGAATGGGATTTCAAAGTGGAGCAATGTGCATTCCAAAGTAATGACGTTTCCAAACTGAACATGAACTTAACTTAGAAGTACAAAAGAAACAAAAAACCCTCAAACTAAAACATGAAAAAGGGAAGTTTTTTTTTTTTTTCCATAGCAACTTACTGCATGTGGTGGCATAAATGTAGAAGAAAGCAATGGGGAACCAATTGCATCCCTAATATAGAGTTCCTGCGAATAAAAAATGCAACTTCAGTTATGAAGCATTTGAATTGAAAGCACTTAAATATCACACTGATGCAACAGAGTGCTTGGTTTATAACTACTCGTAGGATATAGTTTTTCAGCTTTAAAATACTTAAGACCACTAGGATGATATAGCTTTTCATATGATGGATAAATAATAAACTTCACACAATGCACACTCAAAAGATCATAGAGATTAAAATCTAATGTCATTAACAATCCTATCAACAATCTATTATTTAGCCATTTGAGCATGGAAGCGGAGATGGAAAAAAATTATAAAGCTTAAAAATTGAGCCCAAGACAAATTAGATTTCAAAACCCAACAATAACTACTTAGTAATATTCATGAAACTAATATGTAGATAATAGAACACACGAGGAAGAAGGATTTTATGCAAGCATTACCTGTGAATTCAAGACCTGCTGGGAGATTGATTTATCTTCATCCAGAGATTCAAAGTAAACCTCGACTGCATCTGTAGGTTCAAGTCCAGTTTTTTTCCTCAATTTCTGAATTCTATTCACAACCTGCAATTGACAGACAATCCAGTCATCAAGCATCACACATCATTTAACCAGTGTCAGTCCACAAAGCAACTTCCTTTAATCAATGAATTAAAGAAAAGGTAAGAAGGTTTCCATTTTAAAATCAGAATATGATGAAAAGGACATGGTAAGCAAAGAATTTCAGAGAAAGCAACTTCCTTTAATCAATGAATTAAAGAAAAGGTAATAGAGTTCCCACTTAAAAATCAGAATATGATGAAAAGGTCATGGTGAGCAAAGAATTTCAGAGACACAAAATGCTACACGTGATGTAATAAATTTGACAAACAATTTCATATCCTTTTCAAATAAAATAAATTTCTAGTAATGCAAGATACATGAAACTTCTATAATTCTGTTCCTGAAAATGATTGAAATGAGTAATCACATATACTGACTGCCTATTTGAGAGATACCTCACGAGCAACACCAGCCTCGTATAATGACTCATCCAGACGCAAATCTAATATTACCAAAACATCACCTGAAACATTGGATACAAAACCTTGAATCATGCACCTATAACATATAATATCAAAAAAGAATTGCATTTCTAGTTCCTACCATCTCCAGCAGCATCAACCTCCCTATCTGTCAAACCATCAGGGCATTTGAATTCCCGAACAACCTGAGAACTCATGAGAATGTGTAAATCACTAAATTGGCACAACAGTGATGAAAATAAATCAACAAAACCAAACTAGAATCTAAAAACTCCATCCAGTTGGGGACTCAAGCTTAGTTGAGTTGAATTTCAAGACCAAACTGAGAGATTTTAACAACAATCAACTTGACGTGGCTAACATCCTGCATAGGGGATAACCAAAACATGGGCACCGCCATTACTAGTTTATATAGTCCACCGTCCACCAATAACTTCAAAAGTTCATTCATCCAAACAAGACAAAGATTAAGGAGTTGCAAGAGAAAAAAATGGGGGAAGCAAATGAAAATTTTCCTCTGCAACTAACTCTAGCAGCAAAACCATTCCATCTCATAAAGATTGTTGTAATATGTAAAATGACAAACTGTTCAACATCCCATGATCTTTCCAAGAAACACACCTAGGTTTTTTCATCAGCAAATCACATTGCACAAAAGTAACTACCATTTCATCAGCAGGGCAATAACTCCTTTGCCAAATATATGGATGCGTGATAACATAGAAATATAAATTAACACAACAAGAAAAGAAGCACCTTAATATCAGACAGTTTCAGAAAATGTGAAGCAATGGTAACTTCTCCAGCTTTCTCAAATTCCAAAATATCTATCTGAGACATTGCTTTAACTTCCTTGGCAACAACCCCCATAGATTTTCCAAGTCGCTTACCTAACACGCTGAAAGAGAATAACCAAAAATCAATTACACAAGCACAGGAAAGTACAAAAAACTTCGGAAGGACATAACAAGGCATACCTAAACTCAGGCTCGGCACGCAAAGAAGCATATTTCAGAGTATCGTTACATGGAATAAGAGATCTCACATTGAGTTCCTCGAGCACATACTATCATGCAAACAGAATCCACAACTCATAAAACAGTTAGAATACAAATAACAGACATCAAATAACCAAGAGAATGAACTTAAGCAAGAAAAAATTAGCAATTTTGGTAGAAGATGAGCTTAAAGAAAAACATGTATTTGATTGGCTAAATCATGTAATGACACAGTGATATGGATAGTTTAGGAATGGAGCACAAACCTCCTTCAATTTTCCAGCTATGTCATCAAGAAAGTCCACATCAGGATGAACTACAATCATCTCCCTGCAGTTTATAAAGAGGAATATAATGAAAACAATGAGGTAAGGAATGAACAAGAGGCAGTTGAAAGTAAATGCATAAGTATATAACTAAAAGGACAGATGAGTGACGGATGAGCTTATAGGAGTACCTTAATGGCGATTTAAGAGGCTTGTTGTGCCGTTCACGGATATTGCGTGCAAGATCAATAATTGTCATCATTCTTGCAACACTCTGTTCAATCCGTTCATTCCTCTACAGTGGCAATAAATATAATATCATTGTTTCAAAAGATGATCATTTTAAAGAGAGGGGAAAAGACTGTAAAATTGTATAAATGTTAATATAAATCAAACAGAGCTTAGGCCCTTAAATTGAAGAGGAACCAAACTTTATGGTTAAAAGCTTGCCAAAATTAGTTGGAAATTTTACTAAAAAAATGGTCCAAAAATAAATATAAGTTCGAAAACATGGGGCATAGTTTTTCTTAGAAAAAATCATGAATCTTGCATTCTCCAAATTCATAATAAATTCCACAATTTGAGTTGATGATGCCTCGATGTTCAGCATGACCAAAGATTGCCAGCCTAGAAACCATAAAGATGTTCAAAAAGTTAATCTACTAAACAAAATGAGCTTGCTGCAACAGAGATTATAAATACCTCCCCCTCTACTTGAGGAAAGCTGCAATAGTGAATACTTTCCTCTGATCCAGTACAAACTCTCCGCATATTTTGATACAGACCTTCTGAAAAGAAAGGTGTGAATGGCGCCATCACCTTACATGATATTAAAAGCACCTGAAAACCAATAACATTTAATGCAAATCACAGTCAATGAGGGCATCTTATCAAAACAATCAGGCAACCTAATAAACAGTGAATAACAATAATTG